AATGATATACGCAGGCTATTAATTTCAATTAAATGTATGATCGACGATACCGGCAATGAAAGAGAGCTAAAATAAAAATTTTAACGGAACAAAATTAGTCAATGATTGTAGTGATTTCTTCTTGAGACGATGATAAAAACCATTAGGAATAAGTAGACGACTTAAATAAAATATTATTGATATAAAATAGGAAGATTTATTAATAAAGATAACAGTAAAACTGTTATTATTAACGTAGTTGTCATTATCATATTTGGCAGAGTATCTGATTAATGTTTTGATCTAATAATCTGATTATTGACGAAAATGATAACAACCTAAGACCATAAACACTCCAGAACTGCTCACAAGAAAGGATTTGAAGATGACAGTAATACCATACGGTAAGGGCTTTTCAGTAAAATTAAAAACGATATGTAATAAATACAACATAACAACAACATACAAAACAAACAACCACCGAGATCTATTATGTCCAAAACCAAACAAAACAACATACAGGAGATATCAAAAAAGCAAATCTAAAGTAAAAGATGCTACACAAACAATAACTACACGTAACTGGAAATTTGCGGACCCAAACAGTAGACAAAAAAGATGGTACATGAAACTGGCAAATCATTCACTGGTGACCAAGGAGTGCAAAGATGGAAGAGAGAGAGAGAGAGAGAGAGACCACAGAAAAGATGCATAAAAATGAATATGAACGAATAATGAATATGAACGAAATAAAAAAAAAACATTTTTACCTTTAGTTTTGTTTATATTTATTTGCTATACGTTTTGATATGTCTGTGTCTTGTGATTGAATACTACAAATTGGTGGAATTCACTTTCTTCTTTGACTACACTTCGTAGTATTTTTCCCTTTTTTCTTGTTATTCTATTTGTTACACTTTATCTTTTAAACTGGGATATTTCATTATTTATTTTATGTAAAAATGCTTTATTTTTCTTCTTCATGTGCCTTGTCCGTTCCGAACGTTGGCAACCAACATGGCTATTCTGACTTTGTTTACGGCAGATCTGAATAGTTCAGCAGATAACAATCCGAACCATTGCCGCATGTTTTGGAGCCACGAGTGTCTTCTCCTCCCTGGACCCCTTCTGCTGTCTATTTTTCCTTGAACGATCAGCTGTAGCACTCTATATTTATTATGTCTCATAATGTGACCCAAGTATTCCAACTTTCTTTTCTTTATACTTATTCCTACCTCTCTCTCTCTCTCTCTCTCTCTCTCTCTCTACCTATCCGGCGTAGTACCTCTTCGTTGGTCACGTGCTCAGTCCAGGATATACGTAATATACGTCGGTAAGCCCACATTTCGAAGATGCTAGTGAACGATGCTCTTGCCTTTTCTACTCTTATACGTATTTCCTTCGCTTGATCGCAATTTGAGTTAACTGTTGTTCCCAAATAGGTGTACGAATCCGTGTGTTCAATTCTTTCATTGTCTAATATGAGTTGCTGTGGTGGTTGTTGGGTTTTGCTTACTAACATCCATTTGGTTTTTATGATATTTAGTCTGAGTCCGTATTGTGCACTTGTTTTTTGTATCTTACTCATTAGGCAACTCAGTTCCTCCATGCTACTTGCTAGAATCACAGTGTCATCAGCATACCTTATGTTATTAATTATTTCTCCATTTATCGTTATGCCTTCTGTGCTTTCCTCCAGCGCTGTCTTAAATACTTCTGAGTATATATTAAAGATAATAGGAGACAAGATACAGCCCTGTCGTACCCCTTTCTTGATCTCAATTTTATTGGCCAATGTAGATCCTACTTTCAATTTAGCTGTTTGACCCCAATAGAGACTCACTATTGTTCGAATGTCTCTGTAGTCGACTCCAATCTTATGGAGAACTTCAATTATCTTTTCGTGCTTTACGTTATCGAATTCTTTTGCGTAGTCTATAAAGCATATGTACACGTTTTTGTTCATATCTCTGCAACGCTGGATGAGTACCTGTAGACTAAAAAGTGCTTCTCTTATCCCAAAAGAATTTCGAAACCCAAACTGCGAATCTCCAATGTTATCCTCGCATTTTTTGCTTATTCTGTTGTAAATAACCTTGGTGTATGCCTTCGAAATGTGGTTAGTTAGACTTATCCGATGTTGATCACAAAACTTTACTATTGTTTTTTTCGGTATGGCAACAAAAGTTGACTCTAGCCAGTCTTCAGGAAACTCCCCGCTGTTATAAATATTGTTAAAGAGTCTGACGAGTAAGTCTAGAAATTGACTGTTTGTTTCGCACAGCATTTTCAATACTTCTCCGTATACGTTATCGTTGCCTGGTCTTTTGTTATTTTTAAGACCCTTCATAGCATTCTCCACTTCTGATTTTAGAATAGAAGGGCCAGTATCATGATTGCTCAGTGTATACCCACTAGGACGGTCATCATTAAACACTTGTTCCACATAAGTTTCCCAGATTCTAACTATTTTGTCGGGCTCTAGTTGTAGATTTCCATTATCATCGCACAACCCTTTCGATAAAATATTGTAGCTTTTCTTTGTTGTGAGTTCCTTTCTCTTCTTATGCATATTGTGGTAGTCGTATACCTTTTCGCACTGTTCGATTTCTTCGAATCTCTCCGAGAACCATTTCTCTTTAGTTTTTCTTATCTCAGCTCTTATTCGTCTATGGGTTTCACGGTATTTGGTAGTATCTTTAGTTTTATATATCCGTCTCTCTTCCATCATGTCAAGGATTTCTGCAGTCATCCAGTCTTTCTTTTTTCTCTTATCAGGTAGTAAAAACTTGTGCTTGAAGTCCTTATCTCTTCTTTAATTTCACTCCACTTTTCCAGCGGTTCATTGTTATTTTTAAAGATTTTTGATATTTCGGTATTTAAATTCTCCTGCATCTGTTGTTTAATATTATTGTTGGAAAGCTTCCTAATATCTAGCGTTTCGGGCCTGTTTTTTAGATTTGGCTTTTTTAACTTTACTTCAAACTTACATACCACCGGATTGTGGTCTGATGCTACGTCCGCACCCGGGTCAGTTTTTACGGCTTTGATGGAGTTTCTAATCCTGATTGGTGCAGCGATATGATCTATTTGATTTCTGATTATTTTACCAGGTGAGTTATTTTTCAATAACAATAATAGCGATTCGAGTAACCTTGACATTAGGAATTATTCAAATTTGTATGCTATAAACCATAGAAACCATATGGTTTTTACCAGTTTTATTCAATGTGCTATCTTAACTTAATCAAAATGAAATAATCGTTAGTAAACTCGTGACCGATCATCCTTGATTCTTTGAAAGATCTGTTTTCTTTCATGAACGTGACATCCTATTTTTACATTTGCGCTAAAAACACTTAAGTTCACTTAAAACTGCACGTAGGTCTTGGGAAATCAGACGATTATTACCATAGGCGGATCACACCTGTTGTAGGTGAACATTTTTGTTCTAGTTTATGTTATTTAGTAACTTTTAATCCAACGTGACTAAATAATAATCAACATTAAATGTAATTTTAAATGATCTTGCTTCGAGACTAATTGTTTGTCTTGTAAGAAAATGATAATTCTGATGTTTTAAATGATATGTTTTTTCCATATCGAAGTCCATTTGCTCCGGTATATAACTTCTTTTCGGTATATAATTTCAATTAGTTATCATTCGTTTTCTTTAAGTTTTGCTCCTATCGGAGATTGGAAATAATTCTGGCAATTATAATCAATAATTCTGGCAATTATCTGGATAATTTAATTGAACTATAGCCAAACAATTGACGGAGCTAACCACAACATTTTACATCTGTCACAAATTTTTACGTTTCTTTTGCCTTTGATTTTGCCCTGCATTATATTCCTTCACAGTTCGTATTTATCACCTCCCTATTCCAACTTTACGTGTTTTTCTTAGTTGTTCGATAACTTGTGCATTTTTGCGATCCGTCTATATTTTTTCGGTTTTTACTGTTTGGTTGTCCCAGAGTCGCTGTCAGTTGTCATAACACTGGCTTCTTCTAAGTCGCCATTGATGAGAACATCTACATCGGCATATTGAAGATGATTTAGTTTTTCTGCATCGATGTTATTGCTGTTTGAATCTTACTTCAATCGGTTAAATCCGTATTTTATGACTGTGTAAATCGTTGTGTCGACAAAGTATCTGTCAACAAAAATAAGAACCAGGGGTCAATTAAATTCGATATACTTTTCGACTAGCGTTTTTGTTCTTCTGACTGGTGAAAATGTAGTTTTACTTCCAATCTGTGTAATAGTCTTCGAGTAAAGAGCTTGTATAAGTAGTTTGGTAAGCTAATGGGCCTATAAATGTTGATCTAATTTATCTCCTTTTTTTAGAAGGAGGTAAACCGAATTTTTCTATTTGTTTGGAATATTTTTGTTATGCCAACATAATTTTAAAAATGTTTGGGTTCGTGACATCAAAATTGGACCTTATGGTTTAATTGTTTCAATGAGTACACCATCTTTCCATGGGACTCTATTATATTTCATAGTTTTGAGATCATGTTGAATTTCCTACCGTGATGTATCTGGAATATACTAAGATTCTACATTCTGTACCTTTTGGATTGGCTGATCGATGAGCTCTGGAATATCTTGACTTTGATATAAAGTTCCATAGAAACTTTCCACTATATTATTATGCGTGGTCTATCTAAGACTATATTTCCATTTTTGTCTTTAAGTTGAAAGATTTCCTTTTTGCTATTTTCGATTTTCTCCTCAATGCTTTCATGCTTTTGTTTTCTTATAGAGTTTTTATCTGTATAAAAACATCTGGTAAAGAGCCTCCTAGAGACAAAAAACCCACTTGGTGGTGAAACGATGAGGTGCAACAGAAGGTTAGAGAGAAGAAAGAGACTAGAAAGAGGTATGACAGATCTAAAAAAAAGGAAGATAAGGTTATTTGCAAGGTGAAAAAGAGGGAAGCAAATCGCTTTATAGCTACTGCTAAGAAAAAATCATCTACACAGCTATATGAAAAGTTGGAAATATCCGAGGGCATGAAGAGGTTGTACACTATTGCTAAAGCAAGAGACCAGGCATCAAAGGACTTGACCCACGTGCGGCAGGTTAATAGTGCGGATCGAAAAGTGTTAAGAACCGATGTTGAAGAACACCAGAGGATAGACAGAATATGCGGGATCTCAAATGAGAATGTAATACCGGGAATAGCGAGAGATAAAGTTAAGGCGTTAAATAAAACGAAAAAACGAAGGGCAGTAGGACCTGATGGAATACCTGTGGAGGTTTGGAAGGCTATAGGAAAGGAAAGGTTAATATGTTGTGGCAAATGATAAGTAATATGGCGACGAAAGGATGCCCAACGCATAGACAGAGAGTGTGATGGTATCATTGTATAAAGGGAACATTCAGTACTGTAAGAACTATGGACGGATAAAGTGAACTATGAATATTAAATTGAATATTGAATATAGTGATATTAAGAACTATGTTCTTAAGAAGTTGTAGGACACAGTTCCTAGACAAGAGCTATGGAGATGCATAAGGGGGAAATGGGTTCCTGAGAAGTACGTTAGGCTTGTAAAGATGTGTATGAGGAAGCCTACATCAAAGTAAAAACTGCTGTCGAATTAACTGAAAGTTTTCCAGTGACAGTTGGTTTGCATCAAGGCTCTTCACTGAGTCATTACCTATTTAATCTTCTTATGGATGTACTGACCGAGAAAGTAAGAGAAGAAGCTCCTTCGTCAATGATCTTTACTGATGGTATTATGTTAGTAGAGGACAACAAAGAAATGTTGGAGGATAAATTGAAATATTGGAGAAGGGTTATTGAAGAAAGAGGACTTAAGGTTATTAGGTCGAAAACGCAGTATATGTGGTTGGGAGGAAGAGGAATAGTTGAGAACGTAGAATTGCTTGGAGAAAAGATATAACGAGTGGAAGAATTTAAATACTTTGAATACAGGATACCGGCTGGTTGGTTTAACTGGAAGCGAGTGAGAGGGGTACTTTGTGATGAAAAAATCGGGGAAGGTCCGAAAGGAAAAATATACAAGAATGTGGTGTAGTGTTTCCTGGAAAGAAGATGAAGAAAGACTAGAAGGGACAGGATCAGAAATGACTTGATTAGGTAAAGAGCCGGAGTTACCAAAGTCTCAAAAAAGATTCAAGAACAAAGACTGTAATGGTTTTGGTCATGTTAGACGTAGAGATGAAAACTATGTGGGAGGAAGGATAGAGCTGTGAGAAGTTAATGGAATAAGAGGTAGAGAAAAACCGCAGAAAAGAGGATTGTGTGGCAGAGAACTTAAGAGAGACAGGCGACGGAGAGTAAGGAACAGCGACACCTGAAAAGGGGAAAGCTGAGGAAGAAGAAAAAGAATCTGTATACATTTTTTTGATCGCTATTATTCGGACTAAACTACACATCTGATAAATAATTTTGCACTTTTAACCATTGGCTAACACTTGCTTGCTCTCCTGTGCCAAAGTTGCCCCAAATAAAGCTATTACATATTTCTCAACGGCAAAAACATTATTATTAATAATTAACTTATAAACTAATAACAAGTATATAATAATAAATAGTAGAAGAATTACTAATTCTGCTAATCACCGTATTTATTAACAAACAATTAAATTATTCACCATTGATAATTGGGAATTGCGAAAAGGTTAACACCTTGTTCTTCGATATTACGATGATTCGCACGTGTTTTAAAGAAAGTTGACCTTATTTAATAACTTCTTAGTATATCTGCAATTAGTTTAATTTACAGGGAGTGGTATAAAATGCAAAATAACTGTTATTTATACTGAATGATCAATATGCCTGGTTTTATTCAACATATTAGGTATTGGTCATCTTCGTGAAAAGATTGAAAAGAGAGAATTGTAGAAATTTGTTAGGAAATTAATAAGCTGGGGTATGGAACCTATAAATTTAACTCTAAAATCGAGCCATAGGTATTATCACCTAAAACCGTGACGGTTATCAGTTGCTTTGATACCTATTAAGTTGTTAAACAGCTATACCTTGAAAAAAAAATTTAGGTAATTAAATTTCTTAATGGTATCCATCACAAATGGTATAAAAGTAAATGAAGAGTGGTGGTATTTGGTGTCAGAACGATGGTTTTTCTCGTTGTAAATTCTGTTTAACGAAACTGTGCAAATTCTGTGCTGTTTTTATTTGGAGGCATCACCTGAAAAATGAGGAATTATAAAAGATGTATTTTCAAAGGCATATACACTAAAAGTGTAAAATACTGTGATAAGTTATGAGTCATTTACTAAAAGCATGCATACGAATCTTTCAGTAGAGGCTATGGAGAAAGATAGATACAATTATAAGTGAAAGCCAATTTGGTTTCAGAAATGATATGGGTATCAAAGATGCTTTATTCGAAATGCAATATTGATCCGAAAAAAATCTCGATTCGCATGTTTTATAGATTATAAATTTTTATAAATTTTTATAATTTTTTATAAATTTTTATAAATTTTTATAAATTTTTATAAATTTTTATAAATTTTTATAAATTTTTATAAATTTTTATAAATTTTTATAAATTTTTATAACTTTTCATAAATTTTTATAAATTTTTATAAATTTTTATAAATTTTTACAAATTTTTATAATTTTTTATAAATTTTTATAAATTTTTATAAATTTTTATAAATTTTTATAAATTTTTATAAATTTTTATAAATTTTTATAAATTTTTATAATTTTTTATAAATTTTTATAAATTTTTATGAATTTTTATAAATTTTTATAAATTTTTATAAATTTTTATAAATTTTTATAAATTTTTATAAATTTTTATAACTTTTTATAAATTTTTATAAATTTTTATAAATTTTTATAAATTTTTACAAATTTTTATAAATTTTTATAAATTTTTATAAATTTTAATAAACTTTTGTAAATTTTTATAAATTTTTATAAATTTTTATAAATTTTCATAAATTTTTATAAATTTTTGTAAATTTTTAAAAATTTTTATAAATTTTTATAAATTTTTCTTAAAATTATACATCGCAGAATATACAAGCTATGCGACGAGAGAATACAAGACACACAGTTTGGATTCACGAAAGGCGTAGGTACGAGAGATGCACTGTTTAGTCTACAGGTATAATTCCACAGATGCAGAGATATGACTTGCGATTTCTACATCTGCTTTGTGCACTACCAAAAATCATTTGACACAGTTCAACACCGAATAAACATGGAAGTTCGAAAAAAGTACAAATCGATGAAAAAGACAAAATTTATACTGGAACCAATCAGCCACAAATAAGAACAAATCTCGGAAATAAACCGATGAAAGCGATCCAGATTCTGCGATTTCAGATTTAGACAAGGATGTATAATTTCACCTATATTATTCAACCTATATTCAGAGGAAATATGTAGTGAAGCCCTGGAAAATTTGCGAACATGTAATCCTTTTAAATGGAGAACGCCCAAACAACATCCGCTATGCAGATGACACCGGTATTTTTGCAGACAGTTTAAACAGTTTACAGTAACTAATAAACAAAGTAAATGAAGTAAGTGCAATATTTGGACTACAAGTAAACATATCAAAAACTAAATTTATGGTCATCAGCAAAAATAAAATTAGAGACGTCAAACTGCTTATCAAGAATACACCAGTAGACCGAGTAAAACAGTTTACCTATTTTAGAACAATAGAAAAGAAAGAAAGAAGTAAAATGTTAAATAGAGAAGGCTAGGAGTGCATTCAACAACATGGCCAAACTGTTTAAAAGCCACAACCTTAATCTGGAAATAAAAGTAAGGCTCCTACGATGGTATATCTTCTCGATATTATACTTCGGAGTTGAATCATGGACACTCACTGAAAGTGATATGTACGATTAAAAGGAAAAAGTTAGAATATCTCGGATACATAAATAATACTCGGTCGGATACAAGGCAATAAATACAGATTACTGAACATAATCCTTTAAGATAAAGTAGCAAAGAATTCGGAAAGCGAGCAATTAATACTGTCGCCACTAATGTTCAATTTATAGTCTGAATCCATTTTCCAGGAAACCTTAGAAGATATAGAAATATAAATAAAGGTGAATGGAAAACCTATTAATATCATCCGATATGCTGACGATGCGGTCCTCATTACCAATGATAAGAAAGAATTACAATTTCTAATAAATAAAGACAATAACATAAGTCTCAAAATAAATAGAAAGAAAATACAATGCATATTCATCAAAAAACGTGATATAGACAATATCATAGTACGGATACAGTAAACAAAATTAGAATCGCCATAATGATATCCAATCTCCGATAGGAGAGGCACTCAAAGAAGATAGTCTTCTTCTTTATGTGCCGTCTTCTACCGAAGGTTGGCGACCATCATACGATAGGTTTCTCTGTTTTGTGCCGCATGAATTATGTTCGCAGCTTCTGGTATTTGAAACCATTCTCTCAAAAAAGATAGTACGGATAGTTAATCAGGACATAGAAAGAGCAAAGAGATTTAAACATTTGGAAAGCTGATTAAACGATAAATTGGATACTACTGATGAAGCCAAAAAAGCCCTATTATGAAATAGAGATCTAAGCATCTTTGGAAGGCTTTTGACCGTACGGTTTTCTTCAGTTAATGGTTAAAGAAAAGATCAAAGGAAGACGAGGCATCAGAAAAAAGTAATTATCTTGGCTGCTAAAGTTACTTTAAGGGCTCAAGATTAGAAAGGTCAGCATACAATTACACGATAAGCACAAGATAAAGAAGAATTTGAGTTGAGACTCGCCAACCTCCGATGAGGAAAAGGCACATGAAGAAGATACCCTAAAAGTATGTAAAGCAACAATCAATCAGACTCACACTTGTCTAAATTAAACACATTTATTACACTACTACATTATACATTTGTTGTAAATTTTACTAAATAATTCTTGTATATTATGCTGTTTTACATAAACTTTGGGTGGCTAAAACACTAGATAGCCTAATGCTGGTAAGGAACCTCAGAGTTGCCAATGCTCGTATTTCAATAAAACTCTCGGAAATGTTTAACGTTTTATGACAAAGAAGTCGGAGGTTCTAGAAATTGAATTAAGCTCTGCCAGCAAATCCTATTCCCACGTTCCCGAAATCATTTTGCTGCAAAGTCAATGGGTGCATGGTGTGCAAGGATATACAGTATGCAACTGACGAGAAAGGGTGAAAGGCAAGTTCCCAGTGTCTCAAAACTGGGTCAGATCGGTTAGCTAGGGGAATAGACCCTAACAGAAATTTATGTTGCACCCTTCAAGAGAAACGG